GGTACAGGTCACTCATACCTGTAATCCCAGCACTTTGGGAGGCCAAGACAAGAGGATTGCTTGAGCCAGGGGTTTGAGACCAGCTTGGGCAACTTGGTGAGACCTTGTCTATACAATAATCAAAAAATTAGCCGGGCCTGGTGGTGGGCGCCTGTAGTTCCAGCTACTTGGAAGGCTGAGGTGGAAGGATTGCCTGAACCCTGCAACTTGAGGCTGCCGTGGCCGTGAGCTTGCTATTGCACTCCAGCCTGGGCAACAGACTGAGACTCCAACTCAAAATAAATAAATAAATAAATAAACAAACAAACTAATAACAGTGTAACTAGTAAGGTTTGGGAAATGAGCAAATGGGGACAGGGATGGGTGGGAGACTACTAAAATATGTTATTCGAGCCATATGAATGTATTACTTACTCAAAAGTTAAATTTATAAAAAGATTTTTAAACAAAAAGGGGTGGTTGAGAAACAGGTAGATAAGAGCTGAGGTGGGAGGGTCACTTGAAGCCTGGAGTTTGAGACCAGCCTAGGCAATATAGTCAGACATTGTCTCTCCAAATAAATTAAAAAAATAAGCCAGGCGTGGTGGCACATACCTGTAGTCCGGGCTACTCAGGAGGCTGACAAGGAAGGATTGTCTGAGCCCAGGAGGTCAGGGCTGCAGTGAGCTGTGATCATTTCACTGCACTCCAGCCTGGGTGACAGAGTGAGTGAGCCTGCTAATGAGGGCACCAGAGTGACCAGCCACAGATCCCTCCTGGCCAGAACTCTGAGGGCTGCCTCAAATCCAGAATGACCCCTGGTTTCAGATACCATGATGCCCAGCCCCACTCCTCTTTCTGGCCTGGGATTTACTGAGATTCTGCCTTCCTTGTTGCTCCACATGTATCCTCTCAAGAAACACTCACTTATTCCAGTCAACCACTGGGTTTCTTTCTCTTAAACTATCTAAGAAGAACAGCTGAGGAAATGGCCTTCCCTGCAGTTGGACTAGAAGGAAGGATGGAATGCTCTGTTTTCTAGAAGAGTAGAGGGCAGATGCTCAGGCAGGCACCAATTGTCCTCTCAGAAGGCAGTTGGATACCAGGCCAGTGAGGCCCTGATGTCATTCTGGGTCCAGTATCTTGTTCCCATGATTGAAGGTTTTTGTTAAACTCAATCTCTTTGCCTTACCTTTAGAAGGGGCTCCCTGGTTGTCTTGGGGGGCATCGTCCCATTCTAAAGTGAGGCTTGGGAGGAAATTCTCAAGGCAGAGAGTGGGTGAGAAAGTTTACCCAAGGAGAGGAAAACAAGCTGATTCTTTGGGGCTCACAGTATCAGGAAATCCCAGTAGTAAGCTTGGGTCTGAGAAGGTGTTCGGGGTCTGAGTAGTAGAAAGCCCAACCTGCTCAGTGCTTTCTTTAGACTATTCTATGTTTAACCAGCGCCAACCACACCAAGGGCACATAAGTTTGGGTGAGTGAAACGGATTCTGATGCCTACAAACTTCTATCTGGAACCTTTTCAGCTGAGCCCTGGGTGTTCCAGAACTCAGAAAACAGGTTAAGGAAGAGCCTCAGCACTCTGGTCACTTTCATGGCTCCACCAGAGATAGCAGAAAGCTGAGAGATGCACATGGTACTTCACTGGTGCTTTATTATACAGAAGAATCCAAATATTTACATCTTAACAGCTTATATACTTCACACAGCTGGAGAGGTTATGGGACTGAACCCCAGAAGTGATTAGGGGTGGTGGATGGAAGGTGATAGGTGAGAGAACTTGCTAAACCAGAGCAGAGGTAGTTAGAGGAGATGGTTCCAGAAAGGATCGAGGGTCCTAGTAACCCCCTATCATCCTCACTCACTCAGGTCTACTCATTGTCAGCTCTTCCTTCTTCTGCTCCCTTACTCTTTCAAACTTATGTTCTCCTGGGAAAGGGAAACTAGAAGGGGTTGGAGGCCAGAGGAGGGGAGAAGAAGGCCCAGCAACAGGGTCTGTCAATCCATAGTCTTCTAATCTCAGCTCCGAAGTTTCTGGATTTCCCTCTTTGTGTGTAACAAGGTGCTTATAAAAACCAGCTGCATCATGAGAAGTTACTCTCTACAAATTGCTCTGAGAGCAGATTGTGGTTGGTGCTGGTGGCCAAGGCACAGCATGCAGAGCCCAGGGCAGTGCATACCAGGTCAGCAGTTCTCAACGTTTCCATCACCACAGCTCCCTTGGACAGATTCTTCCCCGTGGACACTATTTCAGAAGATTTGTGTCAACCAAACAAAATGCATTTGCACGGATTGAATAATTGGTTTTTTATTTTGTGATCAAAGATATATACAATCTTCATAACCTAACCTCCTGCTCAAAATGGAGACAACCAAAGGAGTGAATACGGACCTGCTAGAAATTCGGTAAAAAAAAAAAACCTCAAAGAAACTTTATTGCACATCCTTCTTTTGGGTAAGTGTACAACATCTACTAGACTTTTTGAGTAATGGACATCATTTATGGCAAACACCTCCCCTCCCTCCCCTGTACCAGAAAGTCTAGCAATGCTCCTCTAACCAGCAGATTCCCAGATCTTTAGAAGCAGACTATAAGGTGACAGTGGTGCCACTCTAGAGCTTGCAGCCAGAAATCACTAGCTGCCTTTTCATAGAAGAGGCCACCTGCAGGTTCCTATAACTCCTAAACCTCTAACACAAGGCCACTGTGCTTCATCTCAATGCCAACTCCTGACTCCAAGTGGGGAGTAAGAAGGAGCCTGGAGTGACTTTTTAAAAGTCAAGACTCCTAAAAATCATACAAGTTTTGTCATCCCTGGAGCATCTCAGAGAACTCTTTTCCCTGAAAAAGTCACCAATTCTCGGCTGGACACAGTGGCTCATGACTGTAATCCCAGAACTTTGGGTGGCCCAGGCAGGAGGATTACTTAAGCCCTGGAGTTCAAGACCAGCCTGGGCAACATAATGAGACCTCATCTCTACAAAACGTCAAAAGAATTGGTCGGGCACAGTGGCTCATGCCTATAGTCCCACACTTTGGGAGGCCAAGGTGAGAGGATTGCCTGAGTCCATAGGTTCGAGACCCGCCTGGACCTCATCTCTACAATAAATCAAAAAATTAGCTGGGCTTGGTGGCACACACCTGTAGTCCCAGCTACTTGGAAGACCGAGGTGGAAGGATTTACCTGAGCCCAGCAGGTCAAGGGCATGGTGACCGTCAGCATGCCTCTGCATTCTAGCCTGGGTGACAGAGTGAGATTCCTACTCAAAAAAAAAAAAAAAAAAAAATTAGTCAGGTGTGGTGGTGTGCTCCTGTTGTCCCACTATTCAGGAAGCTGAGGCAGAAGGATGACCTGAGCCCAGGAGGTCAAGGCTGCAGTAAGCCATGGGTGTGCCACTGCACTCCAAGCAGGGCTTCAGAGTGAGAACCCCACTCAAAATAACAAAAAAAGAGTCACCAAAGTAGAACAAACTCCTTCCATCGAGGGTTCTTGGTCAGCCAGGGAAAATTGGGAGGCCAGGTGTTCTCAAATAAACAATTGATAAATAAATCTACCATCATTTAGTAAATGTCTACTCTGAGGTTAACTTCATGCTAGGACCTTATGGTTCTTCTGGGATTACAAAGTCAGCACATTCAGCTTTAGAGCCTGTAAGAGCCCAGGCAACCCAGCTAGTCAGACAAGATTTAGAAATGTGTCAAGTTCCATGCACCGTCTCTACCTCATTCCTCTATACCAGCCTAGGCAGCCTTGTTGACCTATATCAGAATTCCCACTAGGCCTTGGAGGCAAAAGGGAGATAGCAGAGAAGCTAAGCTGCAGAAACTTGAACTTTGAAACTAGGAGAAGGATTTTCTCAGGGCTGTCCTAATAGTAGAGCCCCTGCGGACAGGGCCTGGCTGAGGACCATACTAGGATTCAAGAGGGAGAATGTGTTCCATTGAGTCTCAGGATTCTGGACTCCTGTTCTTCTGATATGACTGATGTTAGGATGTCCTGGGACAAATCTCACCCAGAAAATCAGAGTTTTGGATTCTCTTTTTTTGACTGCAAGAATCACCTTTTATGTCTGCAAGGATGCCCCAGCTCTCACCTCTTCTCCCTAAGGTTGAATGTGTGTGTGTTTTGGGGGCAGGGTGAGGGGAAAGGGGAGTGGGGAAGAAGTAGGGAGGTGGGGTGAGGCACTCTGGAAACGCTCAGAGACACTTAGTAAACCATACAATAGAAAGGTCATGAGAGGAGAGGCAGAGGAGTCAGTGGTCTATTTGAGGTATTTGAGGCACCCAGGAATCCCGGATACCTACAATGCTTCCCTCCTCTTTGTTGGCTAAGGGTTCCCTGTCCCATAGAATGGGCAGGAAGTGAGACCAGAAGGGAGGATCCGACTTATGGCAGGAGGTGGTAGGGACAATTGATGGAGAACCATAGGGAGGCAACTCAGAGCCAGTGGAAACCCAAACAGCCACAAACTTCCCTGTGTGTAGCCTCCCGGGACCTAGCAACATGGCCTCTTGCTGTGGGCAAAAATTTCACTGGTGCTTGGGCTTGGGGTAGGGGGTGGAAGCACATACAAGGAACCCTTTCTTCCCACCTCAACTCAGGAGTCTGAGGCTGGAAACACAAAGGCAGGCTCCTCTCCATCCTTCCCGGAGTAGGATTGGAGGGGTGGGAGGTAGAGTGTTGAGTATCTCTCCTGGTTAATGGAATCATCAGTTGCCTCTGGCACTTCACTCCAGCTCAAACTCCTAGGATCAGGGCTTTCAAGAAGTGGTGGTATTTTGTCACATCCCTCGGTAGCACTAAGTGGTACAGAGACGAGCTCCCTGGGAGAGAACAGTGCTAAATTCTGTGCTGTTGATACCTATTCTATGAGAGCCGAACAAGCAAACAAAAACCTGTTGTCAAATAATTTGGGGAACTGGGCTGAACAAAGTCAATAGATTTTACTACTGCAGGAATCCTCGGGGGCTTTATACTACACTAACTTGCGCTGTGAACCTCTAAAAAAGAGACATCCTGTGTAATCTCTTCCAGAGCTTAATAGGCAGTCTTTATGCATGACATATGTCAAGATAAATGGGACACAGAATACATTCTGTATCCTATCCGTGAGTCACAGGGGAGGTCCCCTTCCAGAACTTTCTCTGTGAAGTCTCCCTGTCCACTGTGCCCTGATCCTGGGCCTGCTCAGTCCCCTCAATCCTCTCACGGTCATGCTTCCTTCATTTCCCTTAAGCTGACACATTTCCAGGTCTCTGGTTCACAGCTTCAGACATGACAGGGAGGAGGCCCAGCACGAAGGTGAGGCTGAGGAAGGCCGAGGGGAAACCAGGACAAGAACACTCAGTGGCAAGGGTCACAGGAGAGAGGAGACCAATGGAGCGAGGGCCTGGGCCATCCTGCTATGGATCACACTGCTAAGTTTTGGTTGTATTTATTTTATAAGCAGCCATCATTCACAGAAGAGGGAGGAGAGGGGGAGGGAAGAGATGGGAAGAGAAGAACAGGGAGGGACATTTATACATGGGAGGCAAAGGCTAAGCCAGAGGGCCGTAACCCCCCGCCCACTGATGAGTCTCCACCTGCTGGCGGCGCTCCCTCTGCCCTCAGCAGCAGTTCTCCATCCATGGAGGGTGGTCGGTTCCCAAAGTGGGTCCCCTCTGGCTCTGCAAAATGGCTGCCCTCCCGCCTGGGCGGCCCTGGCTGCTGACAGGAGATGAGGGTCACTGAGGGGAAGCCATAGGTCTCCAGCCCAGGAGGCCGCCCAGCCTCAGAAGCTTCCAGAATGAGATCCACATCAGAGAAGGCCACCAGGGCCTGGGTGGAATCGCAGGAGCTCTTCTCCAGCTCACTGGCAGCAGCATAGGCTAGGGGCCCTGGGGCCCTGGTGCGGGGCCAGAGCCGCCGGAGGTCATCCCGGAAGTGAGGGTTGAAGAGCAGGTAGAGCAGTGGGTTCAGGCAGGCCGGCAGGGGCAGCACCACGAGCAGGACAGACTTGACGGCCTCGGGCGTGACGGGGAAGAGGCCAAGCATGAAGGCGAAGCTGAGGAAGGCCACGGGACAGTAGAGGAGCCCATCTGCGAAGATGAGCCAGGCCACGTGCCTCACCATGGCGCAGTCCCACACAGCCTCAAAGTCACCCCGTGGCAGGTCACAGTAGAGTTTGATGTAGGCACCGGCCACTACCAGGAAGCAGAAGGAGTTCATCATCACCAGGGCCACAGCAAAGCCCAGGGCTGCCGGTTGGCCCTCAGGTGGGGCATAGGGCAGGCAGAGCGGGGAGGCCCCATATTCTCCCACTGAGGTGAGGGGCAGGGCCGCGGCCAGCCCTGCCAGCACCAGGCAGCCCAGGGCCCCTGCTCGAACGCTGCCCTGGGAGGGGGCCTTCCCGTAGGCCCGGACACAGGAGACAGAGACACTGCACTGCACTGCAGCCAGAGTGAGCAGCAGCACGGAGGCCTCCGACCCAAGTACTGCCAGGAAGCCGGTAGCCCGGCAGCCCAGCCCCATCTCCCAGCGGGCTCCATACTCCGCGAACTGGCCAAAAGTCAAGGCGTCAACTGAGGCTAGAAGGCCACAGGAAATGCCAGTCACGGTGTTGGCGCCTGCAATTGCACCTACCACAAACTTGACCGGGGGTAGGGGGACAGGCCCACCAGCAAACATGGTCATCAGCACCAGCCCATTGCAGAGCACGGAGAGCAATACGATGGCCCACACGGCCAGGCGGATGCCCCAGCTTTCAAAGAGGTGCTCACAGGGCTTGAAGGGGCCTGTAGGAGAGAAGATCAGACATTACCCCTGGGCAGAGGCTGCTGGGACCAGGTCTTGGGGACAAGGTCAGCCTCTGCACTCAGAGAACTTTCAGTCAAGAGGAGATGAACATAGCCTCTGCTCTCAGAGAACTCCTAGTGTGAGGGAGGCCAACCTGATTTCTGCCCTCAGAGAACTCCCAGCCTGAGAAATGCTGACCTGGTCTCAGAGTTAGGGTTCTAGGGAGGAGCAGTGGTACATACACAGCTCTTCTTCCAAAGGGCTGCAAGTGGGGTGAACACTAGCTCTCCTCCTAAAACACATAGAAAATAAAAACACAGCCAGGCTCGGTGGCTCAGCCTGTAATCCCGTGCCTTTGAGAGGCTGAGGTGAGTGGATTGCCTAAGCCTGCGGGTTCGAGACCTGCCTGAGCAGCGAGACCTCATCTCTACAATAAATAACAAAAACAGCCAGACGTGGTAGCACATGCCTGTAATTCCGGCTACTTGGAAGGCTGAGGCGAAAGGATCGCCGGAGCCCAGCAGCTCGAGGCTGCGGTGGCCAGGAGCGGCCACTGCACTCCAGTCTGGGTGACAGAGTGAGACTCCAACTCAAAAAATAAAAAAGAAAAGAAAAACACATATAAACATACACACAGCACAAATTAATGCAGTGCAAACCACTCACTGAGGAAGTGTTAAGTAAAGGAACAGCATTTGAAAGAAAGGAAGGGACAGCTGGCATAAAGGAAGAGAGAAGGCATCAGATTTGGGGGACATTGCTGGGGCAGGGACACAGAGGTGTGAGGGGCTGCTCAGACAGTACTCTGGCCTAGGGCTCAGTTTCTCCCAGTCAGTGCCCAGTGATGCACTAAGGATTCCACTGTGGATGAGTTGGCACCATACCAGACTGGCTTTCCTTTGCTCTGTGAAAGGGGTGCAGAACACATTGAATATTTATCTGTCAATCAGTATTAGGGAGATAAAGCATGCCAAGTATAGTACATCAAAATACAGATGCCTTCTGGAGTTTTCCAAATGGGCTCCTCACTAGGTCGGTGAGATCCTAGTGTTTTCTAACTTTTTCTCCAGAGTCCGTTCCCTATAATTTTGGATACACTATTTCTTTAGTCTAAGTAACTAAGACTATAGGCTCACACCACCTGGTTAACTTTTTCATTTTTTGTAGAGAGGAGGTCTCACTATGTTACCTGGGCTGGTCTCAAACTCCTGACTTTAAGCAATCCTCCTACCTCAGCTTCCCAACCTGTTGGGATTATAGGCGTGAGCCGTTGCACGTGGCCATATTTTCTTTAAGTTAAATTTTTATTATGCAGACTTTCTCATATCCTTAAGTTCCTCCAAAACATATTTTCTTTTTCTTTTTCTTTTTTTGAGTTGGAGTCTCACTCTGTCACCCAGACTGGAGGGCAGTGGCATGCTCACAACCACCACAGCCTCGATCTGCTGGGCTCAGACGATCCTTCCACCTCAGCCTTCCTAAAAACATATTTTCAATGACTGTGTGATAAATATTGCATCATATGGATGTGCCATAATTATTTGACCATTTTGTATGAGCTATTTTAGAAGCAAGTTCAAGTTTAACCTTGTCTTTTGGAACTTCCTCTTTTACTTCATCCCTATTTATTACTGATTTTCAGAGGTGAGATTTCTGTGGCAGTGTGAAAGAATCCTGTGGGTTTTCAAGTCAAAAAAAAAAAAAAGCCGGGCTCGGTGGCTCAGCCTGTAATCCCAGCACTTTGGGAGGCTGAAGTGAGTGG